AAAATTTACAAATTTGATGTGTGTATTTTCGGCCTACGTATCCATTCGTCGATTGCGAGAAGTAACTCATTTTGTCAGCACATCTCACATATATCAACAAGATAATTAACACAAATAACAGCCATTAAACGCAAGATCAAAACAAGACAAACAGACGAGCAAGAACAATGGAGGGAAAGAATAAAGTGAAAACCTACCATAGGCACCCTCCAACCACCCATCATATTAATCTATACCATCATAAATTCTTATTGTAAACGACTTTAGTTTACACCCCATCAGCGAAACTTAAACTATTTGGTCACTTTTAAGGACAAGCGGGCTAACCCAGATTTCGGGGGTTTCAAGAAATCTTGACCTACACCAAAAGTGGGGATTGCCCTACCTATAGGAGAAGTTTGGTTTCATTGGTTTGTATATTTGTTTAATTATAGAGAAAACTCTCCTCGTCTTTTACCTTCAATTTTCTCGAAACAACGTTTTTGGGGGATAGCCCCCTTGTGTTTAGAAGCGACCATTTATGGGGCAGGCCACTCAGACCCTACCTGTCACGTTTTTTTTTGGTAAGAGTTTTATGGCACTCGCAGCTGCATAGGTCATTTGAGCGCCAGAAGATTAGAGGCGTTACAAGAGAGTAACAAACATAAAAAAGAAGACGGGGAGATAAGGACGATAGATGTTTGATAGGAAAGAAGAAGCAAACCACACCAGAGCAACCGCCAATCATCCACACCCTACCTGTCAGGACTAGTGCATCAAGACTAGGATACAGAACCCCGACAGACAGACTGAGACTGAGATAGGTACAAGTTTGAGGTCAGTTTCACAAAAACTCAGAAGAAACGTATAAACATTTTTAAAACACATTATTGGACTTTGAAAGGCTAAGCCAGAATATGCAAAATACCAATAGCTGTTTATACAGGGAGGTGAGCAGAGTGAGCCTGATTCCCCGTTTGGACTTCTCTGTTGACATCCACCCCTTGGCGCTCAAATGACCTTATGCAGTTGCGAGCGCCGTAAAACTTTACTTAAAATAAACTAACTCCCAATGATACATTTCAAGTCATGTAAAAGGCGGGTTTC